CACAGCGAACAAACATTCCTCGCAACAGACCGAACAATTGATTCAATATAATCTTTCCACTTCATATCAGCAGAGAGCGTTAATCACAGAAGGCGCGACTAATCTCTCTTCTGCAGGTTAGCATTAACCATGCTGATGAAAGGCAGAAAGGTACTTCTTGGGTATGTGGAGTGTTTTTACGATGTTCCCTGTTCTGTGGATTATTTTTAATCGGTCCTTCAATTCAGGCCCCTCATGCACTTAGATATCTATTAGATGTAGAGAGATGTTTATTTATTTATTTTTGACGGAAACTTTCCTACCCTTCCTGTGTTTATTAAAACCATATCGTTTATTAATTTCGATCTTTTGACCCGTTAAATGATTTTCCGACCTCACCGTTTATAGCATATTGAGAAAAATACTGAACTTCTGCTATTACGGCCCATCCCAGTTTCAGACACCGAGGAGTATTTTGTATTTACTCAACATCCCTCGAGGTCAGGTTGTGACACAAGGTCGGTTTAATGTGCGGAGCCCGAGCGCGTACACCCGGGCTAGGAACAAAAATTGCCCGAGTCCCTGCAACTGTCGGTTGCGCTGGCCTCGATTCGATCACCCATCCCTCTCTCTAGTGCAACGAGACGGCGCGGCCTCAGGCAGCTGTTCAGTATAATTTTCCTCAGTTGCGACTCTGTCCTTTGACGGAGCCGCCCCTGGGCGCACTCTGCCCAAAGACAAAACGCAACACCGAGGAGTATTTCCTGGTATGAATCACATGCCCCGATGCTATCTATGCTTTATTAATATTCTTTTTCTTTATTATTAATTAACCTATTTGTGTATGAGAAACGAATTTTGAAGCTCACCATAATGTTGCTTCCCCAGCCGGTCGTCGGGGATTTATTAAGACTCGAACGTATCACAGCAGGATTGTTCTGTGTAAATATTTATTATTAAGACGAGAGTCGGCAGGAAATGATGTCATTCAAAAAGAACGGAAAGTGTTAATTTGCGGAGAGAGGAAACGGCTCTAGGGTTGACATGCAGATTTATTGTGGAAAGAAAACACGATCTCACAAGAAGCGATGGAGTCAGTAATTGTCAAGTTCTTTCATAATGAACCACCCAAGACTTTTTTTTTATCATTAACCGCATCTCAGCTCAACCTTCGTTCTTTGCTTCGAACGTCGTGTTAATTAGAAGTTGACGGCTACGTCTTACGCTCACTTAAACAAAACTATTAACTCTTAAAAACATTTGTTAATTTTATCTTTAACGCTCACGAGTGAGCGTTGGTAAGCTGGTCTCGTTGGCCATTAACAGGGTAATAGTTCCAGTCTTACTGGGTGTCATGCATTTGTGTCCAGTGCCTCGCGTAAGAAAAAATATCATCTAAAGCCTTCTTGTTTCTCCATTAGTTAATACGTTTGCACGTGTGTCACGCTATGTCCTTACTTCAGATAAATAATGAACCTTTCCATTTTTATTAGGAGCGAAGACGGGAGTAAATGCTATATAAGAGACTCTGTTTCGTTTTACTCTGAAGAAGAAAGTAATTGAGCAGTTATACCCTCCCTTCGTCCGTGTATTGAATATTACTGCCATATCTGAGCTTGTGTTCCTATTATATACCTCAAGGTTCCTGACAAAATTCAAAGAAGGGTCTGAAATCTAAGCGACCCTGACCTGGCATCTCGACTTCAGTGATGTCACTTTGTTCTGTTTTTTTCTACAAACATTTTCATGCCAATTGTTCTGACTACTTTTAATCCTTGTTACCTCAACTGCATGAATTCAAACGCACTACTAGATTGGCAACCAGGTCTCACCGTTTTACTGTTCAAATAGCTAAATGCTACCGTCTGTTCTATTCTAATAGTTGCTTTCCTTGCACTTCTCCTTGTGGAACTTTATTTCAGTTCCTTGTTTCCCTGCCATCTTACAATCTTCTAAAATTCAAATGCAACGCCGAGCATCATCTTGTGTCATCCTGGACGCTGTTCTTTGATTGTCCTTTCTCCTCATTAGCATCTTCCCATTCTCTTTCACTCCCAGTAACCGCTTGAGTTTAGTTCATTATCCCTTTGCTTGGGGTAAAAAGAATGAAGAAAGAAAGAAAGAAAGATAGATAGAAAGTAAGTAAGTAAGTAAGTAAGAAAGAAAGAAAGAAAGAAAGAAAGAAAGAAAGAAAGAAAGACGAACAAGTGAGTGGAAAATAAAATTATAAGACAAAAAGAAGAAAAAAAAGAAAGACGATCGAGGGGAAATAGAATGAGTGAGAGGGAAACAATATTATAAAGATAGGGGGAGGCGATAATGCCCGCATGAATTTAATGTCTGCTTCGGTGAAATGAAAAACCATGTCACTTTGGAATTTTGTATTCTCTTATTCTTTAGATAATGGACACTCGTCTATAATAATGACATGCAATAAGAAATGATTTTTATAATAATATTTTGCTAACGTTATTATGCTCATTAATATTTAACGATTCAGGAATCGTCCCGCGAAGAATATTTGTCCGGCCCGCCAACTTAACACCTGGACACTAATTAATTTGTGGAGCAAGTGTCAGAAAAAAAATATCAGTTGGAATTAATTGACATATAATGCGACGACTTTTTGAAACCAAAATTTAATTGCGAAACCACTGCTGACTTCTACAGGAAATATGTTTTACGAAGCGAAAAAAAAGCGTTAAGCCTATTGAACAACGCGAAAATGATGATGTCATTATTTGGAAGTATGCATACTTGGAAAGAAGACACAGTGGAGTAAATGCAACCGTCTGTTCTATTCTAATAGCTGCTTTTCTTGCACTTCTCCTTGTGGAACTTTATTTATATAGCGGCTCGGATTGAAGAATCGGAGAGCCGAGTTCGAATTCCTGTCGAATCCATTACATTCACTTACGTGCTAATACCCCTGGGAAAGGTATGAATCCCCTTCTTCTTCTCCCCCTCCCCAGCTACGGGTAAATAGACCGGGTTCTATAGCCTTGGATGGCAACTGGTCTACTGCAGAAAGTAATGGCAACCTACTGCGGGAAAAAAAATCTGCCTCGTCAGTCATGTATCGAAAGATACATGACCGCCTAAGCATGTATCACGCATGGCACATAACTGACTAACTGACGTATGCTTGTGAACAATTTTTTTTAGAAAATGAAATATACTAAAAGTCGTTTAAGAACATGGTTTGGTGATGACCACCTGGATGACGTTTTGCTCCTGACATCGACAAATATTGATGTGAAGTTATCGAACAATAAGCAGAAATATATGCCTCATTAAATAATTTGCCATTTTTAACTCTATTTCATTTGTAGTAAGGAATTTGCATTTTTTTTTATTGTGTTAATTGTTATCCTGTTATTCTTGCAGTAAAATAAGGATAATTGTTTAAATACAATAACATTAATTTCCTCGTTTTTTATCTTTAAACTCCCAGACAAGGCAGCTTTCTTGGCGGAGCAATTTCAGTTTAAAATAATTTATTATGTTTCATTTTCATGGCCCTCCTCCGAGACATTGCATAGCTTTCGGCCCGCTCTCTCCAAAAGGTTGCCGACCCCTGCAATAGAGTAATTTTCACGGATATTTTATAATCATGGAATTTGCTTATTCTCATTCAATCATTAATTAAGAATTATGATTCATTAGTGAATTCAAATAGGAAAACGGGTTCTGTTATTTTCTTAAATAATATAAAATATTTTGGGTTTGCGGTCGCATCACGTTGAAACAACTTTTCCCGTACGATCAGTGAAGTTAAGCAACGTCGAGGATTTTTTTTTTTTTTTGCTGTTGTTTTTACCGTGATGTTCATCCTGAACAAGGGCCGGGAGTCACTCGAGGTAGAGAGTTACAGCGTAAGAGATACAGTTTATACGGGTATTTGAGGAATGTAACAGTTAACCTGAGACTTGTACAGATCGTAGTGATCGGGAAAACACCCTCTTGGCAGTCGGTCACACAGAGCGGTTCGCGGGAAGAAGCTGCTCGATTGGAATTTACATCACACCAATAGAATACGAAGAGAATGAAGGTGGTTCTATAAAATGTGAGTCGTATGGCGGGTTTGAACCGGAAATGTTAGAACAAATGAAATAATGAATGTAGTTCGTCTGAGCACTTTCCATGGAAATAGCGACAGAGCGGTAAGGAGCTTGCGACATTTCGTTTGTGAGAAACAACTTAAAGGTTGGAAAAAATATCTCACCGACAAAGACGCGGAGGCATTTTTGGACTCTATCAAGACTGAAAAGTGAAAAGTTGTCAACTCTTGCCCTTATATGGAAGCAGTACGCCATTTTCGGCTTGATCTGTCTCTGGTAAAGGTAGGGAGATAGGAGGAATTTACTAGAGCAGTACAGGGAACCGATCATTTTCCCGGCATCTTTATCGATGGATCGTATGTACTATCTCCACTTGAGATGTGGGTTAATTTTAAGGTCCAGCAGGCGCTCGAGGCAGGGGTCCGCTCTGGAGAAACATACATTCATCGTGAGTTGTGATTGTTAAGAGATGGATGCTCGCATGGGAATACCAGGTGCTGTAAGCATAGATGTACGAGTGGTGTAATGAATAAATGCTTGGAATTGTTAATCAGAATGCCGTGTTCCAATTCCGGTTGCGTTCGTTATATACACTTACGCGCAAATACCTCTGGGAAAACTATGAACGCACCTTTTTTTCTCCACCAGTTATGGGTTAATTAGCAGAACTTGTATAAGCAAATAATTATTATCCCGAAATTACTATTATCACCGTTTTTTTTTTTAAATATTACTGTAATATAAAATTTCACTCAGTAGAAGCCACTCAACTATGATAACGTTCTTGTATGAACGTAAGTGCAGAATTTGAAGATATGTAGGTTAAACAAAGGTTGACCCTAAACTTCAAGAGGTAAAGATTGCAGTGATTGGGGAAGTATCTACTCGGGAGCATGTTACATTAAGGAACGGTTCTTGGGAAGAAATTAATTGCATATAACTTCCTTCTTATCAATAGGCTTACGACAATATCACATTGAAACACCGGTCCTTGTACGATCCCCGAAGTTAAGCAACGTAGAGCTAGGTCAGTACTTAGATGTATGTCCAATTGAGAATACCAGGGTGTGTAGGCTCGGGTAGGTGGGTGCTGTAATGGATCATATCTTGGAATTGGAAATCAGAGTGCAAAGTCCTAATTCCAATCGGGTTCGTTAAATTTTCTTACGGGTAAATACCCTTGAGAAAGGTATGTATCCACCTTTTGTTCCACCAGCTATGGGTTAATTAGCAGGACATGTATAAGTAAATTATTATTATACCGAAAAAATCTTAAAATCTAAAAATATTTTCTGGCTTTAAATAACCTGCTAAGCGTTGATAAACCGTAGAAAACGAATCAATCAATAAATGATCGAAACAATGATTAGCAAGCTGGTACGTGTTAGTAATGAGGGATAATTTTTCACTGGGTGCTCTAAGATTGTAGCCTTGTATTAGACTAAGGGAATCAACCTAAAGAGTTATGGAATGCCTGACACTGATCGATGGTTAGCAATCTACGCTTACGGATAATTACTAGTATCATATATCAATTTTTCTCATCTTGGAACCTTGTGTCAGATTACGTGAAGCGTATTATAAGCCTGTAAATATTTCCATCTTACGATTTTTGGTTAAAAAAAAAACGTTCTTCCTATAATTTCATAATGTCATAGGTATTTTTTACTATATTTCTTTGACATTGTCCTACTTTTCAGTGAAATTACCTATGTCATTCTAAAAGAACGATTTCAGTTTTGGTTCGATATTCTAAATCTTTTGGAACCAGTGAACTGCCATAAATTTGCTGTTTGTGAAGAACGTGATGAGAGGAAGGTGCAGGTCCCGAATAATACGTATATATGGAAGAATTTTCTATCATATCCCAGTGATATTCAGCATGCATATAGACGTTGTCAGAGGTTACTAACAGACAAATGTGGTACTCGGGTGAAGAAACAGCAACACGTGCGTAGATGAAAGAAGAGAGGTTTATTGTAAAAGAGAATACACTACTGAAAGACAGGGAATCGGATGTCAGGTTAATAATTCTCGAAGCAAGAATATTTGCCAACCGCCTGATGTGGCACAAGGCCGAATGTAACGAGGGGTATCCGAGCCCGTAGTGCCGGGCAAAAATTTCCCGTAGACCCCGTAAAAAACGGGGTCGGGTAGCTGTCTACCACCCCAGACGAGACTCTGCCCTTCGGCATAGCCTCGTCTGGGTTCCTTTCTGTCCTAAGGCTGAGAGTTCGACTAGCACAGCTGGAGACGAATCTCCAACTAATTCCCGAAGCAAAACCCCCAGATATATTCTGTGCTCACTATATATACCTACTGATATAGTCAGTTCACATAGGTGATAGGGAGTGTGGGACATTCCATTACAACATCAGTTGACTTCTGTTTCGGGGAATTGGACTTTTTTTTTCAGTAAGTCATTCAAACGAGCCAATTGCTGACGGTATTATTACGCAGTAATATCGGCTCGGAATGAGAAATCAGAAACACACATTCGAATTCTAATCGAGTTAGTTGCATTCACTCACGCACAAATAGACCTGGGAAAGGAATTAACCCATCTCTTCTCTCAATAGATATGGGTTAAATATCAGCGCAAACTAGATTCTTCAGCCTTGTTTGGCAACCAGTCTACCGCAGAAAGAAATGGCAACCTACTGTCTAGTTAGTTTTGAATTGAAAGAGACATGATCGCCCAAGCGTTTATCACTTAACTAACTGAATATTTCACCCAGGTTCCTGTAATTTTTGATAATGAACAATTCCGTTTGTGTCTATCAGTTACAAACGCTTTCTTCCGAGTATATTCCATTATTTGGATATTTGACTCATTGTCTTGAATCAGAGATTCAGAAACGTTTTACTTGATTGACCTCACGTAACGAAGTTTTGATTTTCATTCACTCAAACACAAATCAATCGAATATAAAATAACAAGACATGAATGATTGGCCAGCGTTTAATACATTTTACATGAGAAAATAATCAGAAAAAATATGAACGAACAGACACTTTTAGGGTCATTAACAGAGATTTGATATCATTTTTTAATTTTGCTATCATAAACTTAAAACTAATACAGTATCCAATTATTCACGAGAGACTCAGTTTTACTCACAATTTTGTACATTTGGATGTTCTCTATTCCTTTCAAATCAGTACAATTGAATGTCAACTATTCCTTTCAAGGCAGTACATTTGGATGTCCTCTATACCTTTCGACCAATCAATATTTTAACAATATCAATGGATGAAAGCTGAGAATCAAATTGTTACAGTAGTCAAAAGAACATTTTGAACATAGAATTTATCAATCGTCATCATATATATTGACGATATAATTAATTTCTTCTTCTACATTATATATTATATAAATATATATGTATAAATAATTATTTCCTCTTCCTCGATGAAGACGGTATGAATAATTATTTCTCCTTTGTTACACCATATATTTTTTAATCATTTCACCCCAAGGAAGGTAACAGAGCCACTAACTGGTCGGTGGGATACTGAATGTGAAAGAATATAAGAAAAAATTAAGGAGCGAGAACAATAAAATTTAAGAAGGCAGAATATTTGACATTGTATTTAAAATTTTGAAGATCCATCTTGACTGGAAGGCATGAAAGTTCTGGAAGAGAGAAGTATGAGAGAATAAACTGTTAGCCTAGAATTACGGATACATATAGCCATTTCGACCGTAAAATGATGAGATCTTAGCGCCAATCAAATACTGCTCTTAAATTCAGAGTCTAGGTACTAGTGACAAGAGTTCTTCTGAAGATTTACCATGAAAGTATTTATAGAAAAGACACAGGGAAGTTACACTGCGCCGGCGGGAAATTGACTAAAATCGAGATGCCTACTCAGCACCAATGCCACTCAGCACCAATGCCACTGTAGATTCTTTGGATTTTATCAAGGATTTGTGAATGCAATAGCATAAAACCATATGTGGCAACGGTATGAATAATTATTTTCTTCTTTGATGAACTATATACTGATGATATAATCAAGATTTCTCAATGTGGGCCATACGGTCTCCTTTGGGGGCCATGAGTTATTTTCAAGAGCCACAAGGCTAACTTTGAAAAATGGGAGGTCACGAGGGCGCACAGAAAAATTAGGATATATATATATATATATATATATATATATATATATATATATATATATATATATATATATATATAATCACACATAGAGATATATTAATGTGATTATTGGCGACATCCATCCTAGAAACATAATATATGCATTAAAATACTGTTAATCCATAGTGCGAAGTGATCCTCGTCGATAAACTTGATGTCTGTAGTTTTCAGTTTATTTGATGTTAAAGTGCTAGTACTTACGAATAGTCCTCTATTCATCATGATGATTAGAAGACTATTCGTAAGTACTAGCATTTTATTAAATTAAATTTTATTAAATTTATTAAGTTAAATATTAAATTAATCTAATTTTGTTTTTAACATAAATATTTATCATGATGAATAGAGGACTGTTAGTAAGTACTAGCATTTTAACATCAAATAAACTGAAAACTACAGACATCAAGTTTATCGACGAGGATCACTACTATGGATTAACAGTATTTTAATGCATATATTATGTTTCTAGCGATGGATGTCGCCAATAATCGCATTATACTTGACTGATTCTATGTGTGATTATATATATATATATATATATATATATATATATATATATATATATATATATTATTTTGTAATTTATAATTATTATTTAAAATAAAATATTAAATTTATTAAGTTAAATATTAAATTAATCTAATTTTGTTTTTAACATAAATATTTATTTATTGTAATCTTTTCATTTGATCTACGCAAAATGGCCGTTTTTAGTTTTCAATTTCTTAAAAGTTAAAACTCATAATTTAAATTTTAAATTAATGTATGTTTTCAGCAACATTTCTTTCAATATTGAAAGGCTAAATATCCTGAACTAAGAGCTCCAAGGAAATGACTGCACTCTATTTCCTGCAAGGAGGCAATTAACGCATTTTACATGAAACTAAAGCTGTTCGGGTTGAATCTTGGGAGACGGGAGTTTGCACAGTTTCCTTCCTTAGCAAATATATCCACCGAGCTGCCTGATGATGACCTAGCAGTGCATGTTGATCATTTGAAGCAGTTGCAGAATGATATGAAGTATCACTTCTCTGATCTACTCCAAATGACAGTGCAGCACTGGTCTGTGGATTCCTTCATTGCTGATACACCTGAAGTTGATATCACCCTACAAGAAAGTTTATTGAATTTCAAAATAACACATCAGCTGAAGTTAGGTTCAAGCGTTGAGGATACCAGAAGCTGTGGATGAATGAAGACATTCATAAGAATTATTCACTACCCTGGAAAGACGTGAAGTTGCTCTTACTCGCGTTTTCCCACATATTACGTGGTTGAATCTGGTTTCAGATGCATTTACTGTGAAAGATTCGAAATCGTCTTGACGTAGAAAAAGAGGAGATTTATGTCTCTCTCTGACGGCTTTCAACACAAACATTGACAATTTGACAACCCTGCAACAGTCAAAGCGATCCCATTGAAATCATACAAGATAGAGCTGATGGTATATGTATTTGTTGTTTTGGTAAATAAACGGGTTTATTCAAATAAAATTATATTATTCCTTGATTTACAGCTGTTAGTGTTTTGATGTCACAGTACTATCCAAACTACAACGTTTAATATTCCTACTTCCCTCGATGGATTCAGGGACAGTGGCGGGTGGGAAGAGGGGGATGAAAACTCAAATTGGCATGAGAGACCAAAAAGAACTTACATTGGATTGAAGGGTGGGACACGACCAGAATAAGGTTGAGAAGCATTGATATAAATGGTTTTCTTTGATTCACCATATATTGATGGTAGTAATCATTAATTTTTGTAATACGCCATATATTGACGCTATGAACAATCCTTTTCTTTTACCTTGATACGCCCTATACTGACTGTATGCATAATTATTTCTTTTGATATACCATACATTATCGATATGAATAATTCTGTAATACTCTGAGTCAACGTATAATTCTTTTCTTTCTTGATAAACTATACGTTGATAGAATATAGAATTATTTTTCTTTTTTGTTTAATTAATACAGCAATTGAATGAAGTATTCGTTTTTTTTACTCTGTCTTTTCTTATTTCTCAACACTCTGAGCGAACAATTTCTCATTCTCTTGATTTTTTCCTCTTGTTGCTCGTCTCCCAGAATTCATGTGTCTGTTGAACGAAGAAATCACTCGAAACTCCTGTCTTCGTTTACCCTAGACCATAGAGACCGTTTCTCCTGTTATTCATTTTCTTTCCTTTCACGGTTCTCGCTGTTGTTGACGCTTCGGATTTCAGATTCGGTTCCACGCCTATTCATATGACACTACTCTGATGACGGTGAGCATTTTGTTCACGATTTCTAGCCGTGACGCACGTATTGCCCTCGGGCATTCGTCAAAAGAGAATAACAGGATTTTATATTGTTGCATCTTGTTTATTGTCTTCTTTATGTATAGAGGAAAATGCCTTTGTTGCTTCCTACTTTCTTTCACTAATTATTTATATATTTTTGTGTTTCTTTCTCTATTTCTTTCATGCATGAACTCACTTTTTCTTTCCTTCTATATTATAAATCTTGTCTTCTATTCCCTTGTTCTTTCTTTCTTTCTTTCTTTCTTTCTTTCTTTCTTTCTTTCTTACACTCCTTTGTCCATCTTTCTTTTTTTCATGAACTCACTTTTTCTTTTTTTCTATATTATGAATATTGTCTTTTACTCGCCCTTTCTTTCTATCTTTTTTCTTCTACTCATTTGTCCATCTTTCTTTCTATCTTTATTTCTTTCCTTTCATGAACTCACTGTTTCTTTTTTTTTCTATATTATAAATCCTGTCTTTTACTCCTTTGTTCTTTCTTCTTTGTTTCGTTCTTTTTTTGTTTCTTTTTTCATTCTTTCTTTCTTCCGCTCATTTGTCCATCTTTCTTTCTTTCCTTTGGTGAACTCAATTTTTCTTTCTTTCTATATTTTAAATTTTGTGATTTACTCGCTCGTTCCTTCTTTCTTTCTTCCTTTCCTTCTTTCTTCCGCTAATTTATCCATCTTTCTTTGTTTTCATGAACTCACTTTTTTTCCTATCTTATAAATCTTGTTTCTACTCGTTCTTTATTTCTCACATTTACTGATCTTTCTTTCTTTCTTTCTTTCTTTCTTTTTTTCTGTCTGTCTGTCTTTTTTCTTTCTTTCTTTCTTTCTTTCAACTCATATGTTCAAGTGTCTTTATTTTTCTTTCTATATTATAAATTTTTTCATTTACTTCTTCTTTCTTCCTCTCTTTCTTTCTTTCTTTCTTCCACTAATTTATCCATGTTTCTTTCTTTCTTTCTTTCTTTTTTTTGTTTCTTTTCATGAACTCATTTTTATTCCTATCTTATAAATCTCGTTTCTACTCGTTCTTTATTTCTTTATTTCTCTCATTTATTGACGTTCTTTCTTTCTTTCTTTCTTTCTTTCTTTCTTTCTTTCAATTCATATGTTTAAGTTTCTTTATTTTTCTTTCTTTCTTTCTTTCTTTCTATATTATAAATCTTTTCTTTTACTTGTTATTTCTTCCTCTCTTTCTTTCTTTCTTTCTTTCTTTCTTTCTTTCTTTCACTCATTTGTCCACTTTTCTTTCTTCTTTCTTTTCATGAACTCACTTTTCTTCCTACCTTATAAATCTCGTTTCTACTCGTTCTTTATTTCTCTCATTTATTGATGTTTCTTTCTTTCTTTCTTTCTTTTTTTCTTTCTTTTTTTCTTTCTTTCTTTCAACTCATATGTTCACGTTTCTTTATTTTTCTTTCTTTCTATATTATAAATCTTTTCTTTTAATCGCTTGTTCTTTCTTTCTTTATCTCATTTATTCATCTTTCATTTATTCTTTTCATCAGCTCACTCGTTGAATTTTCTTTCTTGTTTTACTCCGTTATTTTTCTTTCTTTCTTTCTTTCTTTCGTTTCATGAAGAAATTCTTTTCATCATCCATTAACCAATTCAAACAGTTACTAAACGAATGATAATGTTCCTTCTTTTCTTCCCAACATGCAGAGGATATTCAACAAATGGGCGAAGTATAATTTTCTTCTTTTCATAGGAATGTGTCAGATATCGATGGTTGCCTCTCAGATTCTTTTATTTTTCTCTCCTTTGAATAAATCCCGAATTATGCAAACCGGGCTTTATTTCTTCCGTTTTATTTGAACAAACTTCACACTGACACTCTATCGAATGTTGAATTTCAAGGTTGGCAAATCTATTCCAGTTGCCGAACAGGATCGTCTGATCCACATCGGGACTAACTGACGCTGATTACAAATTTATGCTTCAGGATTTTATAATTGAAAAGATTCTCGTGCGATTATTTTCTCCCCAACAATTCTAAGTGTACGGGCAACACGCAGAAATCGAGTTGGCATGTAAATTGAGAAATGCCAGTAAGAGACAAATGTAAAATAAAATAGCCCTTTAAAATATGGTTAGATAAGCAGGTAGCCACAGTTGATGTTCATAAATTTTATATTAGTGAATATTTAAAGAGCCAAACTACACAACGATCACGCTGTGTTGCTATATCACCTTTTTTGTTTTACGAAAACATATATGATCGATAGCTGCAGGTCAAGGAGGCGAATAAAGAAAACATATATTTTTCTACAAATATAGTTATTTTTTTCTAATGTTCGATCTATATAAGGCCCAAGAGCTACTCAAGGTAGAGGGTTATTAACGGGGTTGTTGTATCAGTGGTAATATTAAGAGGTATGAAGTGTAGCTTATGAGAATATGCAAGAAAAATAGCGGTTAACCCTATACATGAAAAAGTAAATGAACAGTTTAAGAGAGCAGTGGTAGAGAAAGTTTTGTAATTTCAACGAACACTCGTTTCCACTTTTCTAGGCTCAGTCCAAAATTCTTCGTAGACCCTATAAAAGACGGGGTCCAGTAGCTGTCACCCGAGACGAAACTCTGCCCTTCGACAGAGTCTGGGGATCCTCTCTGCACGAAGGCAGAGAGTTTGACCCGCAGACTTCCGAAGTAATCCGGAGAGTGAGATATTCACTAACCGCCCCACGCGGTTGGATGTGGCACAAGGCCAAGTGTAATGTAGGATATCTGAGCCCGTGGGCTCGGTCAAAAATTCCCCGTAGACCCCGTAAAAACCGGGGACGGGTAGCTGCCTCCCGAGACGAGACTCTGTCCTTCAGCATAGCCTCGTCTGGAGATCCTTTTACCCCGAGGCATAGAGCTTGACAAGCACACTTCCGAAGCAATCCGGATACTGATCACTTAGACGCCACGCTAATTCCCATATATACATTTCCTTTATCATCACGTGATCTACTTATTCAAAATGGATCGCTTGTGTTTTCTCTCCGGTAATCTGTGTTCAGTCCCCAGAGTCCGCAGGGACACTTTATTCCTATATAACTGAAAGCATCCTATCGAGAGTTGGTTCTAAAAATTAGCGATTCGTGGGAAGAAGCTGTCTGAGTGGAACTTTTTCCTTATTATTAAGAGAATGAGGAAACGCAATAAAGTGTACGTAGCATGACGGGTCATAGCTATAGGTTAGATCTTCCTCTGTCGACTCTTATGCCGGGCCAATATGGGCACTTTGACGCCGGATAATGATCAGCAAGCTTGTCAATTACAAGCGGATAGTGGGATCAATCCTCATTGGGTGCTCCATATTTTATGCCTTGTACCACATCAAAGCTACGCTTAGAAAAGCTTCTAGGCGCCTCGACGTTATATAATGGTTAGCAAGCGTTTTTGCTAGAAAAATTATGGCTGAGTAGTGAGTTCGAGCCACATTGGATGTCTATATTTTTAGCCTTGTGCCACATCTCAGTTACGTTTTGAAGATCATCTGGGCACCTCAACGTTGTGTAATGGTTACCAAGCTTGTATCGCTAGATCAATTACGACTGAATAATGAGTTCGATCCACACTAGGTGTCTTATACTTTCGGCCTTGTACCACATCTTAGCTACGCTAAGAACATCAACATTATGCCAATAACGATCGGCGGGTGATTCCAATAGCTGAATGTAGGGAGAAGTAAATTTATGCCTTTTCCCAAAAGTAAAGTGAACATAAACTGCAGATCCTGAATTTCAAACTCATTTTATATATATATATATATATATATATATATATATATATATATATATATATATATATATATCTGTGTGTGTAAAACATTCTTTTACAAACTTTGGGGTGGGTTCCTGATACCAAAACAAGGTAAAATGTCTATTTAAACATATGTCCAAAACACCATGTTGAATATGTTCTTCGTAGTCAGGCGTACTGCGCAGATTGCAGTGCTATGGATCCTGTCTCAGCAAAGCGACGATAAACAGCAGCAAAGGTTGGATGATTCGGCTGCCTTCGGTCTGGAAACGTAATCTGATACAGCCGTGCAGCTTCGCGTCCATTAACATTGGCGCGGCCGTATGCAAAAATCATATCTGCCTGCTCACGATATGAACATCCTGCCATTGTTAAACGGAACACTTCTCAGTCAACTCACTACTACAGACAATAAACGAGGAAGACACAGAGATATTCATTATATATATATATATATATATATATATATATATATATGTGTGTGTGTGTGTGTCTGTATATATATATATATATATATATATATCAGTGATAGAACTAATATATGTTGTTGCATGGATAAGTTTGCCTGATGATCACAAAAGCGTAACCCAGGATCACAAACTCACATCCATACAACTGAAATATATATATATATATATATATATATATATATATATATATATATATATAGACAAATGATCATTTGGTGTAAAGTTGCTTGTTACCATATAGTGTTGATTTCTATATCCACATTGTTTATATATTAAATTCTCTATCTCTACTACTGAGCAGTCTTACCCCAAAAACTGAGTAAATTTCAAACAGCACAATATATCCATTTACTAATATATATATATATATATATATATATATATATATATATATATATATATATATATTAGGAAATGGATTAAATCGACATATTTTTTTTTTTATTTGCCACTGTTTTGTCCTTTTGTTATGCCAAGCAAAAGATCGTTATAACTTAAAAAAAATGCTCGTTATTTTCGAGACTTCGTAGACGCTGGTACTAGTAGTAACGTCTTTCAAAAATATTCGCACTAGTAATACTTGTTCAAGTAGTAATCGTCAACTACTATAATGATCAGAAGGGAATCGTAATCCGTATAGTAGTAGAGAGAGTGAACGTCTAGCAATAGCGGATAGACAAGAAAAGTGAACAGTGATTGTATAGTCATCATACTACTTCTTATTTATTCACTTCCCTTATGATCACGTGATCTACTTTATAATGTAATTGCCCGTGTTACTCACTGGCGATCTAGTTTCAAACCACAGTGTCATCAATGACACTTCTTATATAGGATGTTTTGATAACTTGGAACGATTTTAAATGTGTATTAAGTTTAAGCGTCTAATGATTTCTTCTTTTTCTTTTAGATTTAACAACTAATTTTTATTTTTTTGCCAATTTCAACTATGGAAAGATTAACAATCAAACAACGTGTTAAAGTTATGGAAGCCTATTACGATAATGGACGTTCAAACAGAAATGCATTTCACGCACTTCGCGAATTTTTGGGTCAACATAATCGACCAACCAAGATTACAATTGGAAACGATGTAAGGATGTTTTGGAGAGGTTCAATTCCTGCGCGCGATGACGGATAGAGGTGACTTGATTTTCGGCCACATTCTCGTGAACTGCAGCCATGTTTTCAGCTGAACGGCGTAAACGAGCACGCAATGGTGTTTTCACATCTGCCACCGACACAGTTTGTTTAAATTCATGAACAATTTTTCCGATTGCACTCTTGAAACTTTAACACGTACTTTGTTAATCTTTCCATGGCTGAAATTGCCAAAGACTTAAGTTGTTAAATCTGAAAGAAAAAGAAAAAAAAATCATTACCCGCTTAAACTTAATTCCCATTTAAAACCGGTCCAAGTTAATTGAACATCCTTTGCAACGCACTGTATGACAACAAAGATTGTTTTGCCAAAAGAAACAGTCGATCATGTATGATA